GAATATATATATATATATATATATACAAATTCAATGGGAAAGGAATCAGTGGTCATAATTACTTTGTTGATGTTCCTACAGATTATAGCTACAATAGTTACTCAAATCATTCAAATACTACTATAGTCATTATAGGTGAATTCTAATTTTTAATTCTCTTTGTTCACTGGGAAAGAATCAGTGGTCATAAATTTCTGTTAACAGTATATGATTGCCATTATATTGGAAGTGAACTGATTAGGACCTTGTGTTTTCATACTTGCTTAGTTGCTTTGCAAATCACCATTGTCAGTGAAGTCAAATTCCTCCTGGATCTTCCTCTTATTCTTGAGTTACTGTATTCGATGGGGAATTGTCTGGTTTTGCACAAAATTACAGATTTTCTAGATTCCTGTTCATAAAAGTTTTGACCTGAAGCTCAATTGGTTGTATGTCCATTCAACACACACGCCTTTTTTCTGTGGGCTTGTGAACAGTTGACACAATGAATTTTTGGCAGTTGTGATGGTAAGTCACTTTATTAGTGGATCTCAACTTTCCTTGTAACATTCCAATTTCATGATTGGCACCCAGGTCTTTTCCCTTAATGGCTATAAATGAATGCCGTTGTCATAATTTATGGTTTTCTGAAATCACAAAAATCAGTATTTATGGTTTTCTGAAATCACAAAAATCAGTGTATGAATACTAGTAATGCTACACTTACAAATAAATCTTACAAATATAAATTGTAGAGTGAATATAATAAGTTTGATTTTTTGTTTCATTTATTTATTTATTTTTTGTCACATTACTTTGTATGAAAATCTCTGTAAGATTTCTTTGTAACTATAATATTATTGGTGTGAATATATATATATATTAGAAAAAAGAAAAGAGATAGCGACTGCTGTTTAATTGAGATGGAGTCGTCGGTGTGTCTCTTTCTTTTCAGATTGGTGTAAATAGTAAACTTGTCCTGAAGTTTGGTGGTTTACTTGGTGGATGTTTGTTGATGTTAATAGTTGAATGGGATTATTGTATTGTAATGTCGATTCTGACCAAACTGGGTTCCACCATTAAAGAAAATCAGGAATTCCTTTCCAAGCTTCTTTTGACCAGCTTAAGCTACATCCTGACACTGCTTTTTTTGAAAGGCCAATTTAGTGCAAAGTGACCACACCACTTTCTTTTCCCTTCTCAATGAGTGGACGATCAAAATCTCGGGGGGTTATGGAGAAATTTAAAGACACTCTGTGTTGTTACACAGCACCCAAAAGATCCAAGAACTTAAGGTGGGGGAATTTTTTTTTTTTAGTTCTAAAGTAAAAATGATTAGAAGATTCCTCTCTCTCTTTCAAGTTTGTGCATCTATATGCCTGCGACGAACTTGTATTTTTAAGTATACCTCTAGTGGGTATAGTAGTTGCTCAAATTCATGAATTCTAAACATTTTCAGTCAGTGCTTAAATCAAAGAATCTCTTTGAGGACCATTGACCTCTTTAGTCTGAGAGGCGTCACTGTTTGAATAGCCCATAAACAACCATTTGATGGAGCTCCTCTCAATTCGCGAGCCAAGTGGTCAGTGACCGTGACCATAGCCGAACAAGAAGAGGAATTTTCTCCAATGAAAGGATAGTATTCCCTAAGAATGTGCTTGTTTTTTATGCAATATAACTGTCCCCACTAATATAATTGTTCAACAATTTAGCTCTGACTACAATTAAACCAAAAAATTAAAAATCTAAAAGAAAAGAAAGAAACGAGAAGAATCTTCTATCTAATCAATTGCTTTAATCATACTGTTGCCTGAATTTTATAATTTTATCATAATTTGGCAGTGAAATTATCATGAGGGTACCCAGTGGAACCAATTGACAGACAGGGACTCGTCAGAAAATAGTATCTTTTTGTTGTAAATCTGCCCATATAGGAACAGTTCCATTTAGTTTAGTTAAAATGGTAAGAGAAACTGGTTAGTTGGGATAATTGGAATCAGATGTGCCCAATAGCTTGTATCATCATTAAGGATTGTACAAACGCAATCCTGAGCCTTGGATAATATGAATACCCTTTTGAATGTACAAAAAAAAATTCAAAGTGGGGTTTGGATCTCTCTTCAAGGCCAACCAACATGTGGAACTGGAGAAAGGCCGAGGACCCTCCTCCTTTCCTTCATATGCAAACGGCACGCACACTCCCTAATTGGTTTTGTAGAGCTAGTAATTGACCCTTACTGTTTCCCTTTTCAATGAGCTTAAAATCAGCATAATTTCAAATGATGACCTGCAATTTTGATTTGGTTGGTGTCTTAATCTAAGGATATACGTATGGGGAGGGACCCTGTAGAAAGATGGTTAGGAGATGAGATTTCAAAAGAAAAAAGAAAAAAAGATAACAGGTTGAGAATAAGAAACAGTGAAGATATTCCTCTTTTACTACTGAGGTTGTGAATTGTGATGGTCCCATATGCGTAAAGTTTAGATTCTTTAGAAAGCCTAACGATTAAGTGGTTATCAGATTGACAGAACTGTGAATTATTGTCAGTTTGTAATGAATAATAGTCCTTGTTAAGAGGCATGTGTTTTATCTGCTTCAAATCAAAGGGGACCTGTGTTGACGTGTCTGCTTTTCTTATCATTCATTATACCTTAAGACTGATTAAGGGACTAACAATATCCTCTTAATGATCAACCCGCTGAACCCAAATTCCTCCTATGTGCTTTTCTATCGTGGTTTTGGTGAAAGTTTTTTTGATACGTATCTACAAGTAATATCAAGGTCGAAGTTTCTGGCATCTTCTTGAGCAAAATTATGTTACTGGGATCATATAATTACTTCAGCGGACGTGATAGAAGAAAGCTCCTACTAGTTGGATACAAGTCCAAAGGTATTTTTCCCACAAAATTAAATAGAAAATTTTCCATGTGAAGTCCTAAAAATTAGGTTAGTGTCAAAAACAATTGCTTTCTTACACCACTGAAGAATCAGTTGAATATCTTTTTCTTCACATGTGATCTGAGACATAACCTCTTACCACGCCTCATTGTCTGTAACTTGTGATTTTTTATTTTGTTATGTAGACATATAATAAATTATTGCCTTGTGAATTTTCTTACTACTCGCAGTGAAGGTTTCATCTTGTCTGCATGTTATGTATTCTGCAATTTTCTGAATAAAACATGACACAAGTTCACTTCACTTGCAAAATGCAAGATCAATCCTGGAAGTAGTGCTGGGAAAAGAGTGCAATTTATAATAATAAGTTGAGAATATGGAGGAAAACTTAATTAAGTGGTTCAGCACGAGAGAGAGAGAGAGAGGAGAGATACTTTTTAGTGGTTGACCTCGTGCTTAGTTCAGCCATGAATGTGCTTAACAGACAAAAGCTACGCAAAAACCCATTAATTTAATTAATTATCTCTGATTTGTTTGGCTTAGCTTCACCGACTTTCTTTCCCACCACACTACCCACTGCCACTGGACTGGAACAGTTGAACCTGCCAATGCACCCCCCCACAGTCGGTTTCGTCGTTTGTTATTTGTACGTTAGCTTCTGCTCTCTGCTGCCTTATTCACCATTTCTTTAATAACAATTATGTTATGATTAAATGCATGATTATAATAAGAGAATGATAATATTTAAAAATCAACAGAGTCATTAATGTATCCCAACTTCCGTACCGTACACGTGGCCCACATATTCATTGATCTGATGGTGGGACCTGACCTGGGTATCCCACCCTCACCCCAAAGCAACTTAACTTTGTATGGAGACATATATATATATATATTTTTTATGTACTTATTGTTCAGGAACAGTATTATTATACTGATGCATGTGATAAACTAAACTCAATCAATCAGGACCATTCAATTAAATGAAAGTCTCTCTATCAAATGATGGTTAGATATGAATAATGATAAGTCCTGTAAACCCCAGTAGGTAAGATAGGTCCATCTAAAGGGCCAATTTCACGTATTCAAAGGCTAAGATTTCTCAATCTTCCTGGTTCTTCTGAAAGGTCATTATCAATTTGTTTCTTTCACTTTTCTTTTCTTTTTTTTTGGGACAAGGATAGGATAGTAGCTCAAAAAGAAAGAAATTTTTAAAAAAAAAGCAAACTGTATGGATATAATCAAAAAGCAGAGGCAATGGTGAGTTGGTCACTCAGCTCCAACAGTTATTTACTATTTAACACAGTAAGCAAAATGGATAAGTTTAGGATCCAAGTACTGAAAACATGAATGTAATGTTGTTACCAAGATTTCCCACTCAAATGAAAATAACACTGAATGACACAAAGAGGGGGGGAGGGGGGCATCTTCATCTTCATCTTCATCTTCGTGTTCGTGTTCATGTTCATGTTGAGTGGGTAGAAAAACACAAACACATAAATAGACATATGGATCAGGGCCACTTGGTGGGCACAACACAAGAAAGAAAACCAAGCTTTGCTTCCCATCACTTATTCGATTGTACAGTCAGATCCCACCTTGACGATAAGTTTGCTTTTACCATCCTGCCAGAAAGAATACCAACAAAGAAGGCAGATATAGATAATAGATTTCTATCCTAATTATAAGAGAGAGAGGGAGAGAGAGAGAACTGGTGGACTTGGCTGCTTTATAACGCAAACGCAGGGGGTGTGACAAATCATCAAATTATTGGACCCACCTCAACTACAGAAAAATCCATGATATAAAGTTTTATCAAGTCAGAGACACTAAAGAATGCAACTTAACAACTGATACAACAACTTTTAACTAATCTAAAATCAAACGTAAGCCCTTCCATGAACTTCAATCACCTAGCTCAATTTTACTTCTATATCAAAACCCAAGGACACCAGAAATGATCACGACCATCCATCCCTTGAGAATTGCGATTCTCTTCTCATGTAAAGGAACCCCACACGGTGGAGAGAGGATCCTGCAACGTGTACTTGTACAACACTTTCCACACATAATTAATGGGCCTCACTGTCAATTGATCATTCCATACAGAAAGAGAAAGGCAAAGACACAATTCTACTATACTATATGGTCCATGAATATGCATATTTGACATTTATTACCCATCTCACATTGCTAACAACAACAATAATAAATTGAAAAGTCAGGTGCTACAACAACACATCTGGAAAAAAGAAAAAAAAAAAAAAAACAAACGTCGAAAAACAGAAAAAGTGAGAGAGATGTATCAGTCTTGGGCATTTAGTTTTCACCAGCTACACCTTATCTCTAACTACAATTTGAATCAATATAACAGACTAAAATCATTCAGAGTGAATGCTTGCTTTTGCTTCTGATTCTCTACTGCTGGCGTCGAAGAATAATTTTATCAAATTCACCTTTCCACATCACCAATACTTCAACATCCATCTCTATTACTTCTTCATCAAAGGATAAGCAATTTGTTCCGGTGAAAACAAAGATATACAATCACTTCTTGATGTTGATCTACAACCCCCTCCCTTCTCTGGTAGCCTTCTTTATGATAAAATGAATATGAAAACAAAAAGTAACATAAAATTTAGAAGCGTACCGATACAAGAATATGAAATGGTCCAATACCTTAACAAAAACATCCACCTTGAGCATTAGCCTCCAATCCTCTAAGTTCATTGAAAGAACCCGAGCAAAGAAGAAATGCGGTCCTTTGTGTTGCTTCTGCCTTGATTGCCATTGCAACGGTCCACACTGAGAACAGAAGCTCTCTACTTGACTTTGTTTGACAAGTATGCAGGACCTTGTTTGCGGGCTATATAAAAGGCACCCGCTGCATCAATTTTTCCCACAAAAAATAACTTGTTACTTGATTAATAGCACAGCAAGAACAGCTGAAACAACTTTTGCCCTCCACCGCAAATGCCTACAATATCGTACCCAATTTTGGTGCATCATCCATCAGCCCTTAAGATAGTAACAAATTCTGGTGCATCATGCCTAGGCCCTTCAAGTGAACGATACATGTATAATGTCTCAACATATTCATCTATCACCTCCTCACCTTCAAACCTAATCACTTCCACAACCATGCGGGGCATTGCTCGAGCAATCTCATGGCAACCTCGGTGAGTTAATCTACAAGAAGACATCCAAAGGAATCTCATGTTGTAATAGTGGTGCAATCCCGATTGTAGAGCAGCATCCCCAAATGGGCTATCTCTAATCTCAAGCTTCTGTAATCTGGGGCAACCTTCAAGCACATATTTCAGACCCGTATCACTGTCTCCAGCAAAGGCAACAGACAGAGTTCGTACCAATTTACCATATTTTCCAATGTAACTGAAAGCTCTATCAGTTAATAAACCAGAAACAGCAAGCCGAGTGAGCTTCTTGCAGTTCATGACAATGGCTCCAAATCCTTCATCCATTGGTTCTCCAGTCACATGGTCACGCCTGTGGCGCCCCATTATGCATAGCCGAAATACCTCAAGATCTGGACAGTTCTTAGACATTGCTATGACAGCTGCATTTGTCATCCGCTGACAAAAATATAGAATAGACTGTAGTTTCCGACAACCCTCAGAAATTGCTTGGAGACCGATTTCGGAAACAGGCCCCTCAACGTCCTCCTGAGCATTAATAGGGAAAACTCGAAGCTCGCGAAGTTCCTTGCATGTTGCAGCCACAGCCTGAAGTCCTTCATCACATATCGAATCAAGGACCTGCATAATGAAAAGGCAAAATGAACTTCAAAACCCAACTTCGCCCATAATGTCAATAACCAACACCACACAGGACACATACCCAAAAAATTTGAAGTTTGTAGCAGTTGCTTATGATTGGTTTGAGCTGTTCAGCAGTGATATTGGCATAGCTGAAATTCAGGGAGGTTAGATTTGCACAAACTGGATAAATTGCAGGCAAGTAATCTGGTATGATTTCCCTGAACCCTGAGAGACAAACTAAGGATTTGCAAGCAGCAAAAGCAGACACATAGTCCAGTTCTGGATCACCCTCCAATGAGCTGAATGAGCCTGTCCCAAGATGTGTAAGCTGTGGAGCTTTAATCATCAGACGGTACAACTGCCCAATTGAAACATTACGGTTCAACCTAAGTTTCTTTAGGGAAGGGGACCTGGCCACAAGCTTCTCTAACGCCTCAGAATTTATTGCACATTCAACACAATCAAAAATCAGCGATTCAAGACACGTTTCGCCCTCTGGAAAACAAGATATCCAGTCTACTTCATCTTCTGTGACCTCCGTTTCAATCAGATCAAGCACTCTCAGTTGTCTGAAACATAAACACCAATCCAGTACATATAAGCTTACCACATTTTTCACACAGCAAGTTCAGATATTATCATTTGATAAACCCCATTTACGTGTTACNACGGTACAACTGCCCAATTGAAACATTACGGTTCAACCTAAGTTTCTTTAGGGAAGGGGACCTGGCCACAAGCTTCTCTAATGCCTCAAAATTTATTGCACATTCAACACAATCAAAAATCAGCGATTCAAGACACGTTTCGCCCTCTGGAAAACAAGATATCCAGTCTACTTCATCATCTGTGACCTCCGTTTCAATCAGATCAAGCACTCTCAGTTGTCTGAAACATAAACACCAATCCAGTACATATAAGCTTACCACATTTTTCACACAGCAAGTTCAGATATTATCATTTGATAAACCCCATTTACGTGTTACTAAGCAATACCAAAAGGCATCTTTTAGATTCACATACTTTGTTCTAAACTAGCACAGTGAAGATCACAAAGGCAGCAACAAACACAAACCGTGTTCAACTAGTAACAGATCTAAACATTTCTTCCACAAAAATGACAAATCAGATCAAACAAAAAGCCCGTTAAACATTCAAACTTTTTACCACCATTCACATAACCAACCATCGTAAACAGATCCAATCTAAAACACGAAAACTGAAGTATATTAGAAATAAAAAGAAAAAGAAAAATACCTGCACTTGCTGGCAATAAAAGCGAGGCCATTGGTACCAAACCCTTCACAACAAACAAGCATCAACTCCTTAAACCCCGAAAACGACTCGGCAAGCAGCTGCAGATCCTCATCCGTCACGGACATGCGCTTCAGGCAAACCTTTTCCAGCAAAGGGTAAGCCGTAGCCATCACCGAAAGCCACGGCGTGAAGTGGGCCCCCCAGTCAGGCGGCATCAGATTAAAGTCCGCAAACCTCGGCTTCCCTTTCAACACCAGGGCCCGAACCCGCCTAAACCGCCGAGTAGCCCGGTGCGGAGACACCGCGTAGCAGTTCCCGATAAACAGCTCGGATCGGGTCATCGCCTCCGCACGCCACCATGACTTACACACCAATGACGCAGCGTTTCGGTCGCGCCGAGATGTCAGGAAGTGAAGCACGTTTTCGAGGACGTTCTCGAGAACTTGGTCCGGGTAAGGTGACTGGTACTCAGTGATGGGTATGGGTACGGGTACGGGTATGGATGATGATGATGAAGATGAAGATGATGTGGAGGATCCAGAGGCGGAAATACCTCCAGAACAATTACGGGTTTTGTTGATTGAGGCGCACCGGAGATCCAAGGGTGGAGATCGATCGTCGTCTTCGGACATTTGTTGAAGGGCAAGATCGTGATGCATAAGATGTGTAGTTAAAAAAAAAGGGATTCAAAATAGAAAAAATGATTGATTTAGATGAAGAGAGAGTGTAAGAGACAGAGAGTGAAGTGAGTGAAGAAGATTAATAGAAAAACTGGAGAAAAGGAGAAGGAGAAGGAGAAGGAGAAGATTGGGATTCTTTGTATTTGTGTAAACTTATTTCTCTCTCTTTCAACTTCATCTGCTGCTGCTGCTACTGCACTATCCAATGCCTCTCCACACTTCTCCTCCATTATTTGGGGTTTTCTTTTACAAGCTTTTGTCTTTTTATTTTTCCTTTATTTTTTATTTTTTTCTGCATTGGAAACTAAACTACTAGTACTAAATTGCTAATTACAATAACAGCCCCCTCTCCTCTTCCTACTTCTTCTTCTATGTTTATGGTTTCAAAGTTTAATTCACAAAACATATTGAGGGTTGTTCCGTAAATAAATAGGAAAATAAGGCTCATATAGCAATGAACCATATTTTCAATCAACACATGGAGCTTCATTTCTACACTTTTGAAAGGAAAGTAAAAGGCACGGTCCAATTAAAAAGGAGTAAACCTGAGAAAAGCACAGTAGTGATTAGAATTGATATTGATGGACGCGTTGTAGATCCGCGTGAGGATGATATTGGTGGCAGCCTCTTGTTGAAGAATGATAATGTTAATAATTATAAAGAAATAAAGGATGTAATTGGATGTTTTTTTTTTAACTTGTTATGTAAATGTTACTCAAATCTTTCCTTTTACTCCAAATCAGGCCCATCAAAAAGCCCCAAAAAAAGTTTAAAACAAAATTAGATTTAACCATAGACCCTTTTGTCAAACACAAAATTGATTGAGCTTGAAGAGAGCGTGAGCACGTGAAATATGAGATTAAAAAAACAAGTACGTATAGTCAACAAGTAAGGAGTAAAAGTTTGAGTGAGTGGAGTAGATAGATGATAGATGAAATGATTTTGTTATGATGGGCCATCTACGGTTGGGTTGTGTTTGTTCAAACAACAAAAAAATACAAACCCCATCAATAATTAACATATATATATATATATTTTTTCATCTTCATTTTTATTAACCTTTGATTACTGAGATTGAAAATGGATGTATTCGGGTGGTTTCCCATTGCTTTGGGAATCTAACGATGCAGTTTCATTTAGATTAAAACAAGTGAAGTTAAAATCCAAATGAATGATTATGTAATATGAAAACGATATGATACATCCATGACTTTTCATAATCAAATTAATTTCCTCCTTGGGACCTTCCGAAATATGAACAATATGAATTCACCATGGACAAGGAGCGTGACAATACAATTCAAACAAGAAATCAATATGTGGGTGGCCTTTCAAATTACCTTTGTCCACATATTCTTGAAGCTTTCTTTGATTCATTGATTCCAAATAGTAATAAAGACCTTTCTCTTTATTGTGGTCTGAAATCCTGCTTCAATTTACAGAGGAAGTGCACTGCATCTAGATTGTGTTTAAAAAATAAAAAAAAAAGTTGAACGCAAAAAGCATTGCTTTTGGGAGTAGCCTTTTTAGGTATGCCGCTAGTTATATGCACAATCAGACAATTGAATGATAGCTGCTGAAATTGGGGAAATATTTGGAAGAAACTTTCATGTCTTGTTCTAAATTCTCAGTTGATTGATTGATTCAAGTGTTAATAATATCGTTGTTAGTCCAATCCATCCCAGATCCAGTTAGGCCCAGCCCAACAAGAGAATTGGATGAATTGAATTTGATCTGGCACGAATTAAATCCTTCACAAAAAACTATCTAGTACTGGTACAGGTACACATCAACACTCATCCCCAAAATTTTCGAAATTCTCCGAAACTAAACAACAAAAAAAGGGTCTTCAATTTGGCACTACCGAGGAACGTTTATACTGCAAATCTATAACAAAAGAAAGGAATTGAGAATGAATCAGCACCAAGGCGATCAAACTAAAGCTCCCTCATCAGACTCAAACCAACAACCGCTTCACTCATCGGATTACGCTCCCTACCCTAAACTTGATCCAAACGACGTCGCTCCACCTCCACACAATTGGACGAACGTTTCCGTTGGCCCAGCACCTATCAACGAGACTGCCGCCACCGCTATGCCGCCGGAGTCCAATCCCTACGTGTCTCCCTCTCCGGTTCCTGCGTCCTCCACCAAGAGTGAGTACAGTCAGTAATTAAACATTATGTGCAATAATAATTGAGATTGTTTGTTTATGTGTTTACTATTTTATAAATTCGTAGATAAGATGGATTCGGTGAAGGATGCGTTAGGAAAATTTGGGAAGAAGGCTGTGGAGGCCACGAAGAAGGCTGAGGATCTTGCTGGGAATATGTGGCAACACTGTAAGTCTTTCTCTAATTGTTTTAATTATAAGTGTTGTTTCTTTGCTAATTGTCATTGTGAACATACTTTTTTTTAATTATTTTACAGAATTCGAGTTCATTTTGTTGTTCTCTATTAGAGTAAGGTGCATTTAGTTTCAGAAATTGTCTTCACACTTAGGAATGTTTAAAGAAACGTGTTGAAATCAAGTGTTTTGATCTGGCTCTTCGTGTTAACTGTTAAGGCTTTTGATAATTGCCAATGCATTTATATTAACTAAACTAAGTTCATGTATGTAGTTGTTCATATATCTTTATTATTTGTTTTAACTGCAATAAAAGTGGAATTTCATTTGTAGATGTAGCATACTTGGCTGACTCAATGATATTGACTTTCTAAATTCAAAACTGATCCACTAATTTTATATTTGCCGATCATTGACCAATTAGTATGTAGTACATGAAATTACCATGCTGAAGCTGAACTAGTGTCTGTTTTCATCAGTGAAAACAGGTCCAAGTTTTGCTGATGCTGCTGTGGGAAGAATTGCACAGGGAACAAAAGTTCTTGCAGAAGGTGGATATGAGAAGATTTTTCGTCAAAGTTTTGAGACTGTTCCTGAGGAACAACTTCTAAAGACATATGCATGCTACCTATCAACATCTTCTGGTCCAGTAATGGGAGTTTTATATTTGTCCACTGCAAAGCTTGCATTCTGTAGTGACAATCCTTTGTCTTATAAAGTTGGTGAGCAGACTCAATGGAGCTATTATAAGGTATTCTAGCTAGTACCTGCCTTTAGCTTTCAATACTTATTTTCTTTTGTTTTCCTTGTCTGGGTTAGGACCCTTTTTGCATAGAGTAATGCTTGGCAATGCAATTTTTTTTTACCCTCCTCATGCTATCATACGTTATGAATTTCTATGCACTACTGCTCTGGTAATTGTATGTGCACTTCTATTCTATTTGAAATAAATAACAGAAGTGGTTTATCAATTTACTGAATCTTAGTGCCTATTTGATGTGGGACCTTTTAAATGAGTGAAGAGGAATTGAGATTTTGATTTGGTATTTTAGTCATGATCAAATCATTGATAATTTGCTGGTCATGTTTATATATATATATATATGACCTAGATAGTTGGAACTGATTTTTTTTATATCAAATGTCAGCACCAACCTATACTTTCTTTGGGCTTTGCTTTTACCAACATCTAAATAAAAAGCAGGTGCCAAGAACAAACTCTTTTCTAGAAAACTTGCTTGTTATGCTCTACCTGCTCAAAATGTGCAGTTCCACCTCACAACATGCTTCTTTGTAGGACTTTTACTTGAATCATCACTATTAAAAATGTCATTTACTTAGGATTTCCTCAGTATTCTTATGGTTACATAATATGTTTTGGAGCATTTATTCACCCATACCACCTTCGTTTTGTCAATTAAGTGATATTAACTCCAACTTTGTGATGATTAATGCAAGATCAAGGTCTTTCCACAGTGTAGTGTTCTTGTTCACGGTTAAATTANTCTGGTAATTGTATGTGCACTTCTATTCTATTTGAAATAAATAACAGAAGTGGTTTATGAATTTACTGAATCTTAGTGCCTATTTGATGTGGGACCTTTTAAATGAGTGAAGAGGAATTGAGATTTTGATTTGGTATTTTAGTCATGATCAAATCATTGATAATTTGCTGGTCATGTTTATATATATATATATATGACCTAGATAGTTGGAACTGATTTTTTTTATATCAAATGTCAGCACCAACCTATACTTTCTTGGGGCTTTGCTTTTACCAACATCTAAATAAAAAGCAGGTGCCAAGAACAAACTCTTTTCTAGAAAACTTGCTTGTTATGCTCTACCTGCTCAAAATGTGCAGTTCCACCTCACAACATGCTTCTTTGTAGGACTTTTACTTGAATCATCACTATTAAAAATGTCATTTACTTAGGATTTCCTCAGTATTCTTATGGTTACATAATATGTTTTGGAGCATTTATTCACCCATACCACCTTCGTTTTGTCAATTAAGTGATATTAACTCCAACTTTGTGATGATTAATGCAAGATCAAGGTCTTTCCACAGTGTAGTGTTCTTGTTCACGGTTAAATTAAAAATAGAAAAATGTACTTCAATGAAGCTTGTATGCTTAAGTGTCTGTAAATTGTGGCAGTATGGTATTTTCTTGAGATGTTGAATTGTTGTGTTGCCATATTTGGAATCAGGTGGCCTGAGATCATCTCAGTAAATATATAGCCTTTCTGCAATCTATGCGCTATACTAGCATGTAATTACTTTTTTCTGCCACTATTTCCTATACTCATGGACCTTCATCTGGTTAATGAATAATTTTAGTATGAGTCATGTTTTAGGATATCTTTTACTTTTCATATTTGGAAGTTGATGACTACTCTCTCTCTGTTTACTTTTCATACTATATGCCCTTTTTTTTTTATAATATTTATTGACAATATTATTCAATTTTTTTCCTTCATGTATACGTAGGTAGTTCTTCCCTTAAATCAGCTGAAGGCAATCAATCCCTCAACAAGCAAAGTCAAACCTGGTGAGAAGTACATCCAGGTTATCTCTATTGACAACCACGAGTTTTGGTTCATGGGTTTTGTGAACTACGATAGTGCTGTGAAAAATCTTCAGGGAGCATTGGAGTCTCGTGGCTAACGACTTGCTGAGGCCAAAACTTTTTACCATGCATTATTTAGTCCATCATGTGGCCAGCCATTAATGTAGATAAAACATGCCATTCAGACTCTGCTTAGATATATAGTGTATGTTGCATTTGTTTGTGAAGTCACTTTGATATATGCTGCGTGTTGAAATGAAATTCATTCATTGTAATCATGTACCTTTTTAATGTATTTGGATTGGTGAAAAACTATAGATTGTGCCCTTTGCTTCATTTTACATTTTACCTAGTGCCAATGTCGCCGTGTGAACCAGTAGTGTTTGCAGTGTAAATAGCAGGCAAAGCATTCCAGTTAAAAGGAAAAAGAAAATTCTGAAAACCGTTGTTGGGCCCAAAAAGACGCTATAAAATTTGTAAATTTCGCGTTTCAAATCAACAAAACATTGATGCAATTTCTTTAGTATTTTAGGCCCACCGAGCGTTTGTTTGAATTCTATAAAAAAGGTGTTAGCGTGGTAAGTTGGTCTTGCATCCAAATCAGCATATCAATTCTGGAATCGCGATTGTGGATCTATAGTTGTCCATGAATATATGATTAGCCGACAGACAACTAACCTCAAATGAGGTTAAGAATCGCTTCTTAAGTTATTTTAAAACAATCTTTGACAAGAACTTAGTATATGCCGTTAATCTGCTGAGACGCACTGGATAGAGAGTGGAGACAGGCAATGAGACACGGCTGGATCTTTTTACATGAGGTTAAATGAAAAAACCCAACGACTGAGATGAGGTCTGGTAAAGTATGTAGAAGATACAAGACAGTCCAGACCCAAGGGGTGTGTACACGTCTAGGCCCAGTCCCACCATCTAATTTGTGGTGCCCAAAATTGGAGTGGCCCAAGTAAGTGTCCAACCCCAACAAAAAAGATCTAGTAATCTTGATCTACCATGTAGGGTCCGATCTATTAGCCCAGACTGAAAACTGTGTGCAACTAATACTTGCCTGTCTTCATTCCAACTGGCAGACCAATAAAAGGGGACCATTACATTATACAAAACAAATAACCAAGTCAGAATGACACTCAGAATCATTCATAGCCTGGGCCATACCTTGGGTTTAAACTTTAAAGTAATACTTTCATAATGTCAATTTTGAATTCATTTCATTGTAGAATAACATTACTGGACCTCCTTTCTTTTGCTCTTCCCTCAACAGCTGTGTCTTTTTCTTCNGCAGACCAATAAGAGGGGACCATTACATTATACAAAACAAATAACCAAGTCAGAATGACACTCAGAATCATTCATAGCCTGGGCCATACCTAACCTTGGGTTTAAACTTTAAAGTAATACTTTCATAAGGTCAATTTTGAATTCATTTCATTGTAGAATAACATTACTGGACCTCCTTTCTTTTGCTCTTCCCTCAACAGCTGTGTCGTTTTCTTCGATAATCAAATACCCTAATATTACTATTTTTGCGTCTTCATAAATAGGGTAGTCATGTTCTGGTATTGTCATAATGAATTTTTTACCTCGAAAGAAAAGAAAGTTAAGGTCTCTGACTCTCTGCTACTGAAAACAGATAGGCAATCATCCACTTGAAGAGTCATATATGTTTGGTCTTCATCTTGGGGTTCAAAAAATAAAAAACGCAAGCGCCATTGAAACAAACCTCAAATATAACAGCCTCAAAACAAAGTTATCGTCTATCTACTTTGATTAACCTTGGTCAATATGATAGTTAAAAATATAATTTGCTCTTGAACCCACCCAGATAAGTGAAATGTGTAATGTGTTGACAGTCATGCAGAGGAATCATGTTGAAATGTCAGCCTAAACAAGTGATTGCGATATATCTGCAGACTCCCAAAATATCCCCTTACTTCCAATAAGGGCTTTAATTTATTTTCCCAACAACTAGCCTGCATCCGTAAAGTCTTCACAAATCACCCGTCATAATAACTAGCTAGCCATTATGTTTTAAACAAAAACATCACCTAAAATAATTTCCTTGCTGTTACGAATTGCTACAACCCCACACAACTTATCTACTTCTCCTTTAACATTCTTACTATAAACAAATATGGTTTACTGAATTTAAAAAAAAAAAGTGCAAGTAATTAAATTATTTAAGTAAAAGGAACAAATTCAGATCCCAACGTTTTGGATGCAATATCAAAACTAAAAAATTTAGTACAAATATTTTATATTTTTCCAAAGAAAATAATTGTGCTTCACAATTAGCATATGATTGTTGAATTCATGAAAAAATATTTTAAATATTTATACATTTCACACATATAAGTAACGGATCCAGAAATTTCAGTTAGAGTGGGCCAACATAAAAATTAATTGCACATTAATATTTTTATCTATTAATATTTCTGTTAAGGTGGATAAAAATCCAGAAATTGTACATTTTAGTATTTTTTTTATTTTTTTAAATGAGGGTGGGCCATGCAAGTGCTAGATCCGGTAATGAATGTACCCAACCTTTGGAGGCAAAATAAGTTGATGAGTAGTATACGTAAATCTTATTTAGTTCCTTTTTTTTTTTTTCTGATACTATTAAAAACCCCCATTAAACTCTTGAGAACGTAGCTTCGAATGATTAGAGCTGTTAATGTAATTTAGTGAACTCATGGCAAGAAGCTAACTAATAAAAGTAACTGGGAATTGAAAAGTAATTCAAGTGTTGGGTTGAGAGGCAAAGTGTCACGGGTGTAATGTCAATATTGTTTAAATATTATTGTGGAGTCGAGCCCACATGTTCCTAAAGGGAAACAGAATTTTAAAGTAGGCAACATGAGACCGATCTTTAGATCATTTTTCCGACAGCTTCAAGACGCCACCTCCACTATTATTCTATTACCACTTTCCCCAACATGAACATGTTGAGTTTTTCTCCCACACCACCTCTTTCCCTATCACGAACTAACTACTGCTTAAATTTAATTTTAACAAATTAATTCTCTGCCCAGAAACTTAAATTTAATTTATATTTATTTAACACCTCTAATGCATGCGCTTACAAAACGGCATTATCAGGTGTGTTGGTTTTGTTTTCACTAGTAGCCAAACAAAAATAAGGAGAGGAAGGAGATGACGCATAAAATAATTAAGATAAATAATAAAAGGATGTAATTCAGTAATTGTGACAGATGAGTACATAAGAGTCACACAGAAATTAAGATAGAGAGATAGATATTGCAGAAAGAAGGCAATTAATGGAGGAGGAAGAATGAGTGTGAATACCATAATTGAGTTCCAGCCATTTGCATATCTATCTCCACCTCATCTCATCACCTCTTTCTTAAACAGTTGTCAAAACTCTTTTCGGTGGGTTTTTTTCGAGCTTTATTCAACTCGAACTCTCTAGAGTTTCAGAATCCAAAATGGAATTAGTTGAAAGAAGTTAATATGAGAGAGAACAAAATATAATGACTTAATAAACCTTAAGCGGCGAGATGGAGGAGAGAAAGAAGGAGAATATGACAGATGTGGATGGACACTAAAGATTTCAACTTTGCATGCTAACCACGTTTGATTTCGAACTCTCTCGATCTTTGTTCTTTCATCACCATCACATGAACATCATACAAATTTCAACCCCATTCTAAATTATTCATCTAATTCCATCTCTTCATTTTTTATCGTCTCTTTGCAGTTGTGCAGAGTTATATCAAAACACTACTACCTGGAGAATTAGATTAGGTTTTTCAAATCAAAGACAAGAAAAAAAGAAAGCTACGATTTGAGCAATGGTGGCCATTGTCAGCAACAATGTACTAAGCAACACCATGTTATAATGATCCATCCTACACTCACCATTCGAAAAGAAACTAAAACAAAATAAATTGAAACCAAATTGAAATTGAAATTGAAATTGAAATTGAAAGAAAAAGAAAGAGGGTAAGAAACCTAATCATATATCACTAATAAATTAACAATACAATTTTCTTCATCCCCATAGTTTTTCTCCCTCTAGAAATTAGGGTTTCTTACCAAGTGTGTGCTTTTTGTTATGCATCCAAACCTTAAGCACATGCCTCCTCACACCAGTCTCAGCACAGAATTGTTCCACAGAAGCCTCATCGTGCTTTTGAATTCGCCAGCCGAGCCGCTCCGCAAACCCTAGCATCTTTTCCTTCTGTTCAGGTGTAAACTTTGTTCTAAACCTCTTTTTTAGTCCACCACTGCCCCCACCACTGCTACTTGGATTTGACACATCTTCATCCTCCCTATTGTAACCACCACCGCCTGAGGCTGATGGTAAAGCTAACGGTCTTGGTGCCGTTAGATGCAAATATCCAGCGGGTGGTGGAGGCGCACGATAGTAGGGGGAGAATTGGGGATGGTGTGGGTGGTGATATAAGACTCCAGTATTTTCACCGTCAGTTTCTTTTCGGTGGAAATTGCGATGGCAGTTACACGCGGCACATTTTAGAGCGTCGATAGTGCCATCCTCGCCAGCTGCCATGAACTCACAACAACCATCAACCGCGTGGCCACCGATGTTCACCGCGTGGTTCTTTTGACACTCTCGATATCTGATTGAGATTCCCGTTTTTCTGGTTGTTGATGCGCCTTCTCCGCTTGCCGTGGGGTCCGTGTTGGGACGAACTGAGTTGGTAAGGGAGTCGTAAGCCGGTGGAACCGGCATGCCCATTTCTTCTTCTTGCTCTTCGTGCTCCTCAAATTCCATATTATGCGCCGTTTTCTCTCTCTCTCTCTAGGACTTGTGTTGATGAAGAAGATCTACATGGCCGATAGATCAGCAGCAGCAGCAGGTAGCACCAGCGATGAAAAAGAAAAAAAAAAGAAAAAAAAAAAGAAAGAAAAAGGATTTGTAATAAGTAATTGTAGAACATAAAAAAGTGTTTGTGGAAACAAGTGAAAAAGTGTAAAATTAGCTCAGAAGAGAAGATAAGAATTGGAGGAGAGTGTGGCCATCAATTGTTGTTGGACTGCAAAAGAGAGATGTCTTACTCCAAACCCTTCCCTTTCTTATGCTTTGTAATTTGTGAATTACTTTTTAACTTATTATTTACATGGAGGGTTTCACTTTCACCTTATGTTTAACGTGTTACTCAACTGGAGAGTTATTATGGTGAAAATGGGAAGATAGAGATAGCGTGTGGGGTGTGGCAAAAGTGACGTAAGAAAAGAAAGAGTTGCTGTTTGGAAACACAAATGTCTGTTTAGTTTACTCTCTCAGCTGCCTTAAATCTTACATTCCTAAATATTAACTAACTTCTCTTTAATCATCCAATTTTCTATTTAATAATTTAATTAATGAATAAAATCAATGTACGGAAGCATCCTATATATATATATCCAAGAAAGGAGATGCAGTTGGTCTCCAAATCACTTCCTTCAAGCAAAATTGAAGGAGAGAGAGAGAGAGGGAACTACTACGAATATTTGGATTTGTCGGCATTCATAATCATACGTGCTCTCCATCTCCGAGACATTCAGATCGGTTTTGGTGACTGCACGTCCATGTTAATTACTATGAGCTTAACTCAAGGCAAGGAAAGAGATTTGAATTTAACCAAAATTCGAGACGGATAGTGACGTATTTGTACTGGTCAAAAGCAAAGTTATGAGTAGAATTGGTAGACTTGTGAGGAGGGGACGTTACGCCTAGGAACTGGAAGAGAAGAAGACTCCAAAACTTAAGCGGGATGATATCATTAACGTAAGCAGTAAAATTAAAAATTAAAATAAAAGAAAACACCGCAACTACAGAAGAAATAGTGGGAGCTTCATGAAGGCACACAGTAGCCCCACCCAAAAGCCAATCCCGGTGCGGTATAACTGAAACTGACGCAGACGCCTCAACCTGTGTAATCGTGTCACTCTCATGTCAGCTGGCGGGAAACAAACCTCTTTTACCACTTCCCCTAACAATATATTTTTCACTTTCATTGGAGTGTTATTTTAAGAGATAAATTAACGGGTTGATTATGATAGAACAAATAATATACATATATTTATATATATATATATAGCATGTTGAGAGAGAGAGAGAGAGCGATTCCGTTCCGTTTTGAGGTGTTAAAAGCTTTCTAGATTACGGAAGATTCTTTTTAGTGTGAGAGAGGGGACAACGATAGTGACTAGACGAGAAAAAGGAGTGCGTGGGTGTTGAGGGGTGGAGTGGTTCTGGCCCTTTGATTTCCATTTCCATTCCTTTTGGCAGCCTTTTTTTTTTTTTTTTTTTTTTTTNAGGACTTGTGTTGATGAAGAAGATCTACATCGCCGATAGATCAGCAGCAGGTAGCAGTAGCACCAGCGATGAAAAAGAAAAAAAAAAAAAAGAAAAAAAAAAAGAAAGAAAAAGGATTTGTAATAAGTAATTGTAGAACATAAAAAAGTGTTTGTGGAAACAAGTGAAAAAGTGTAAAATTAGCTCAGAAGAGAAGATAAGAATTGGAGGAGAGTGTGGCCATCAATTGTTGTTGGACTGCAAAAGAGAGATGTCTTACTCCAAACCCTTCCCTTTCTTATGCTTTGTAATTTGTGAATTACTTTTTAACTTATTATTTACATGGAGGGTTTCACTTTCACCTTATGTTTAACGTGTTACTCAACTGGAGAGTTATTATGGTGAAAATGGGAAGATAGAGATAGCGTGTGGGGTGTGGCAAAAGTGACGTAAGAAAAGAAAGAGTTGCTGTTTGGAAACACAAATGTCTGTTTAGTTTACTCTCTCAGCTGCCTTAAATCTTACATTCCTAAATATTAACTAACTTCTCTTTAATCATCCAATTTTCTATTTAATAATTTAATTAATGAATAAAATCAATGTACGGAAGCATCCTATATATATATATCCAAGAAAGGAGATGCAGTTGGTCTCCAAATCACTTCCTTCAAGCAAAATTGAAGGAGAGAGAGAGAGAGGGAACTACTACGAATATTTGGATTTGTCGGCATTCATAATCATACGTGCTCTCCATCTCCGACGCATTCAGATCGGTTTTGGTGACTGCACGTCCATGTTAATTACTATGAGCTTAACTCAAGGCAAGGAAAGAGATTTGAATTTAACCAAAATTCGAGACGGATAGTGACGTATTTGTACTGGTCAAAAGCAAAGTTATGAGTAGAATTGGTAGACTTGTGAGGAGGGGACGTTACGCCTAGGAACTGGAAGAGAAGAAGACTCCAAAACTTAAGCGGGATGATATCACTAACGTAAGCAGTAAAATTAAAAATTAAAATAAAAGAAAACACCGCAGCTACAGAAGAAATAGTGGGAGCTTCATGAAGGCACCCAGTAGCCCCACCCAAAAGCCAATCCCGGTATAACTGAAACTGACGCAGACGCCTCAACCTGTGTAATCGTGTCACTCTCATGTCAGCTGGCGGGAAACAAACCTCTTTTACCACTTCCCCTAACAATATATTTTTCACTTTCATTGGAGTGTTATTTTAAGAGATAAATTAACGAGTTGATTATGATAGAACAAATAATATACATATATTTATATATATATATATAGCATGTTGAGAGAGAGAGAGAGAGCGATTCCGTTCCGTTTTGAGGTGTTAAAAGCTTTCTAGATTACGGAAGATTCTTTTTAGTGTGAGAGAGGGGACAACGATAGTGACTAGACGAGGAAAAGGAGTGCGTGGGTGTTGAGGGGTGGAGTGGTTCTGGCCGTTTGATTTCCATTTCCATTTCCATTCCTTTTGGCAGCCTTTTTTTTTTTTTTTTTAAATATCAATTTTCTCTTCTCATAATAATAATAATAATAATAATCCAAGGCTCCTCCTATTCTACCCTTATTAATAACGCATCACCATCTCCATTTCCTGCCTACATTGGTTGTGGGTCCATTTAGCTTATTGAGTTATTGTAATGGGATGGGACCCATTCCCAACATTGTTACTTTGTTACTCTCTGTGGCCAATAAATGCGTAAAAAAATAAGTGTGATTAAGGTTTCATTAATTAATATTATGCTTCGTACCGTTCAAATTGTCGGTTAATCCCACACACACACCCTAATCATTTGACACATCATTACACACCTTGCCTCCACATGTTGATGTAATCAAATCATCGATTTGCTTTGAGTGAACGCCAGTATCTTTAACTTTAAGTTCAAGAATACAAAATTGGGTCAGACCAAGCCCAAAAACTGAAACAAAGATCATTGGGCCAAATCTTGTTGCCCATTAGATCAAGATATGCATCAATACAAGATCCAACTAATGATTTAATGATTAGAAATAAATCAAATTCTTAAATAAAACATTTAAGTTAAATATCTTCACGGACCTGACCCTATAAACAATCTCTGCTTTTGAGATGACATAAAGCTGTTTAGAGCCTAAGATGAGGTAACAGAGCCCTGTTTTTCTTCTGGAGTAATTGGACCCTAGTAGGCCGGAGTGTAGGTGGACCGTGTTTATACGAAAAATGGAAAATGTCAGGGTGCAATCACTATCCAATGAGTTGAGGCCCATAATCATATTGAATTTGTTTAAAAAGAGTGGAGTGCAGTGCAGCTACCATTGCCAACCCCTGGACCACAAGTACTGTGATGCCCGGGAGTAAGATCCTGGTTAGGTTTTCAAGTGATTGATGGGTCCAACCCTCTGCCCAAATCCAATACTTTAACCTCATAGACAAATAAAGCTGGTTATTTACCAACAATACCCCCCAACCACAGTGGAATTAGGAAATCAAGTTTGAGGGTTTGAAGCAAACCTGAAATTTTGATGAACCTAATAGTAATAGCAGTGCTACCTTTTCATTAATTTTAATTTCGGTCAGGCAATGGACTGTGAGATTCTGAACCCATTTGAAGCATCAAGTTTTAAGCAGCCTGAGAAAGTCAAGCTCTGACACTCGTTTAAGATACAGTAGCAGCGTATTGGTGAGTCTAATTAATGATGTTATAAATGCATGTCTAAACCCAGGGGTAAATCTGACACAGATGTATGTAATTTTAGTGAAAATTCATGAAAGACTGCTGGTTGAGCTTCAAACCTCATTCAAAGTCCAGGTAGCTAAACTGCTACACTGGTACTAATACATATTGACATAATGTGTTTTACAAACCACTATATTTCATTGTGTAATAGGAATTGAAGTAAGTAATTATGTAATGCCATCCATCGAATGCTGTCAAATCAAGAAGAGATTCAATTTTATTTTTCCCCTCTTCTCTAAGAAAATCAAACAGACGTTACCGGACCATTGCAAAACCTGTTACTTGATAATTTATCCCAAGTTTTCACTGAGATAGAATGGAAGGAAATTGAATACCAAGCAGGAGCGAGGCATTAAAATACAAAGGAATGAACTATCATTTAAGAAGTGGGACACTGATAAGGCGAGTAGCCTCTGGACACCACATATGAAGAAAACATCCAGAGCTCTCCATGGCATCCAAAGACTCCCGTTGTAAAATACAAACTACTAAATAATTGCTGACTAAGACTAGATAGATAAGAAATCAATTATTAAATAATCTCCACGTGAATGATAAAACGTGAAATGGGATAATTGTTCTAAACCTTGATGAATATTGGAGGCAGGTCAATGCTTTTATTGGCTCGAAGAAACACCCTAGCTAGCTGTACATTTGTGGCAGGTTTCTCATTACCTGCAGGTTTTTACTGGTAAAACATTAAGCATTTCTTTTACCCTCACTTATATCATCCATGTGAGTAACATTATCTCATGTCAACTGTCATGTATCTGCAGAATTCTTTTATGGCGGATAAAGAAAACGAGAAGAAAACTAGCAGGATGCCCACCAAACAATCTTTACAGAATTGATAAGAACCACATTTTGCTACACGAAGAGGCTGATTCTATGACAATATTATTATATAATGAGGCTGAAACCAAGTAAGTATGCTAAATATCAGCAATCAAAACGGGGGCAGAATCCGTGATGGCATCCAACATCACTGCATTAAATAGTTCGGAACTTAGCTAGAAGCATAAAATGACTCTGCTAGTATGGACAATGTAGTTAAATTAATAATAACAGACAATAACGACCACATTTTGGACTCTCATTATAGCTGGCTATCAAGAGAACATTACCCTTTAGTACGTGGCCACTCGATATCTATTTCTCAGCGGAGTGGAACCTATACAAGACACTGTGTTTCAATCTTTGACATCAATACAACGATGAGGTCCTCCAACATCCTTTACAATTACAATTGTCGTATTAAACACGTCCGCATAAAATGTGAAATACCCGGGAATGAGCCAAAATAGAGGAAACATTCCACGGTTTCCACTGCAGATGTATCCTGCCTCTGATCCTTAATGTGCACCTCTGCTTGGATGTATGTGTTGCTTTGGTAATTTTCCTTAAGCTGACATAGAATTGATGAAATGCTCAATCTCTCCTACTCAGGATGCTAAAACAGTTTCAAAAGAATGTAAAGATCATTGGTTTGTTATCGTTCTTTTTTTCTTATCAACCAGAGCATTCTGCATATTTTGACCACACCTCCAGCCTCATACTAGCAAAAAGATGGCTGATGCAAGGTGCATATAAATCATCATATTTGAAACTACTTAGTCATTCTTTCTTAACTCGAAGTAACAATAATGGGGATAAATCACTCTAAACTTAAAATTTATATTGTACAACAAATAAATACTTAGAATATCAAAAAATACAAATGAAATTGAAACAACTGAAGTCCCTAAATGATGTGTTGACAGTTGATGGATTTCATCCAAATATGCCCCCTCTAAACTTGTTTCCTATCAAGAAAAGGCGAGATCACCCGGTTTCTTTGGTTTAATTCGATCATAAGGTTTCTACTGTTTAATTTGAAAACCTGTACGAGCTTTTGCCAAATGTAGAGATCTCTACATAATTCATCGCCACCCTTTCATTGTGAAGTCCTGAAGCAGCAACAAATAGAACTTCGAGCATTTGAAATGCACTGAGACAATGGTTTCATCGCAGAGGCGGAAATTTAGAGCATACCACTTCGGATTATAGTTTAAACTTGGAATCCATCATCTAACAACACATCATGTTATAGTTAATGTTTCCCTCCAATTAAAACAATATGAGTTGCTTAAAACGAAAATACCAGTATCCTGATTCCTGAAAGCACAAAATTCACAGTTGAAAAGTAGCATTACCGTTACAATCTTCTCCCTTTAGAATGAAACAAATGGTTTCTCCTGCTCTAGTTTCTCATCTAAACTGATCATCAACTTGGAAACCTCAAGCTCTCTTGAATTTGGTCTCTTCCCAAACTCAAACACATACCCTTTATTATTACAACGCACAACCCCTGGACTTTGCAACACTCCCATTGACCTGGACTTGCTCAGCATCATCACTGGCATTTTCACGGCCACTCCGGGCGCCCTTCTCCTAACCAATGGTGACCCAGTTCCCATTTTGATCTCCCCAAATGAACCAATAGATTTCGATCTAGTCACAAAATCATCTCCTCCACTTGTAGCTACATTACTTCCATACTCTGCACCCGAAACACTGGATACCCTCCTGTTCCTCCGACTCCCAACCCTACTTACTCTACCACAACTCTTAATTAACTCTTCGCTTCCATCAAATACTTCATGTTTTACTTCAACGGCCTGCTGAAATTTCTCCACGCGCCGTTGAAAATGACTCCAAATACGTGGCGACTCTATGCGCTTTCTAACTTCTTTTAAATACTCAACGACCTCCGAAATCTCAGGCCGCTTCTTAACCGAAGATCTAATGCACCGCGCGGCAAGCACGGCGAGTTTCCGAATAACGGTTGCGTCGGGCGGTGGGCCCACCCTGACATCACATATCCCGGTGAAGTTGCCGTGCTTGATCATCGGTACGGCCCAGTCCACCACCGACGGCGGACTGTAATTCAAATCAATGGCGTTTCTACCGCTAATGATTTCTAATAATAAAATACCGAAACTGAACACGTCACTCTTGGTGCTCAGATCACCCGGCGCAAGATAGCCAGGATCGAGGTAGCCTAACGTACCTGCCGGGGGCGTGCACTTTATTTTAACATCCTCCACGTGTCCTCTCAACGCCAAACCGAAATCGCTCAATCTTGCATTGCGATTCTCGTCGATCAAAATGTTGGAGGACTTTATATCTCTGTGAATCACCGGCGGGTTAGAGGAGTGCAACGTTTGGATTGCTTTGGCTATCTGTAACGCGAACCGGACCCGCCTGGTCCAACTAGGGGGCCTAGAAGAAGAGTGAAGCAAATCGTATAACGAACCGTTTGGCATGTACTCAACAACGAGAAATTTGTTTTGTTTTGCATCGACACAGAAGCCTATAAGATTTACAAGTCTAGGATTTTGTATTCTGGAAAGAATTTCAATCTCGTTTTCAGCTGGGCTGGTGCAGTTTGTACATGGCTGGCTGTGAAAAGTGGTCTTTTTAACGGCGGCGATGAGCTTCCCGTCTTGAAGCACGGCTTTGTAAACGCTACCGTGGCTGCCTTTGCCGAGAAAACTGTTGGCGGAGAAATCATTTGTGGCAGAGGCTAGCTGGTGGTAGAAGAACTCTTTGATCTTGATAACAGGTTTGTTTCTTGTTTTCTTCTTCTTTCTAAGATCCCAGTTGTAGGTATCGCATGTGGCGATTGCGGACTCTGCATTGCAAGATAGATAACCCATGATGGTATTGATTTTGAAAGTGAAGAATTAAATGAAGGAAAAAGAGTAGTATATACTAGATGAGTGAGTTGAAACCAATAATAATAAAAAATATTGATGGTGTGAAAAGTGAAAAAGAAAGAAAGCGAGTAGTCAAAGAGAGGGGTAAAGGTGGTGGTCGTGGTGGGAAACGAGAGCGGCAAAAGCCATTAAAGTAATGGTAGTGGGTGGTGGTGTGTAAAGTCCTGGTGCTTAGGAAACTGTTTTACAGCTTTGGTTGAAAATTTCAAGCTAGAGAGCGGTGGTTGGTAATATTTTATTGATTTTAACATGCAAACGCATGCAACTTTGGAAGGAATTTCTCGGGGTTGGTCTTAAAAGAGCATTCCAGGGGTCCATCAATCTATTGACTTTATCTCCTTCATCATTCACCATCATCTTTTCAATCAATTTCGTCTTTTGATTAGGCTCCAATTTTATGTGTTTGTCATTTGGGACAAAACGAGAAAGAATTATATTATTTAATTCAAAGTTAATGTGATAGTTATATTACTGAATCTCACATCTATCATATTGAATTTTGAGGCACTTCTTCCAAAACTCCTACAATCATGCACCCACTGAGCCTTCTTTTTCCGATTTATGTGTATCAATCAGATCTTCTGTTGGGAATTCGGAAAAGCAAAATCTAGATGAAGCATTAGCGTGATGAGGCAGCATCTCGTTGGTGTTAACGGCAGTCATTTTGGGACTTTCTGTAATTAAAAACCTGTGATTTATAACCTATATGATATCAATCGTTTCGTGTGATTTTTTCGCTAAACTCAGGCTATTATGGGGATATAACTCGATTCAGAATCAACTCGATAACGATATTTGATCAACCTAGCATAAGCTCGTCGAGCTATAACTCGACCTAGTAAAAACTAGTCACGAATAATTCGAGCAATCATTTAATCAATTCCCGAATTATTTCAAATCCTAGATATTGCAAAAAAAATTAGATCAATAGCAATCTCTGCGCAATCTCAATGTCCAATCGCGAAAATATCATAATTATATTTCAGAGCAATTGTAATCCATTTGTTTTCGTTTTTTTCTTCCTACAAATCTTGTATATAAACCCTCTCAAATTATGAAAAATGGGTTACAAAATTTTCATAGAATTTACATTGTAAGCTCTCAACACAAATACAAAATAGTGGACGTAAGCTTCATAGTTTACCTCACCGAACCACTTTAAAAACTCTCATTGTCTTTTACTTTATTGCATCTTTATACCTTCATCACTGATTATATATCTTTAATCACGCCCACATCAGTTTTGATCCCGGCAAGGTCGATCGGATCTCGCTGGTTGGTGCAGATTTCTATATCAACATTTTGGCACTAGAAGGAGGGGCCTCCGTCAACATCTCAGGTATTTCGGCAAATAGTCACAGCAACCAACCCAATCCAGACCCACAATGGTGCACACCAGGTCAAAGACTACCACCAGAAACCTTGAAAATGTGGAAACCACCCACCAGGAAGTGCAACATGATGTCGTTGGACGTCGACCACCCGTGCCACCAACTCAACACGTCACAAACTACTAGGGGGCAGGGACATCAAACCCCGAAAACGGCCAACTGGTAGAGATGATCAGAACAATGGTTGCACATGCGGTACAACAAAACGTGGCTGAGCTGAGGAACCAACAACCAACTGCCCAGAATCTTAACCAGTCACACTTCACCAATGCCACCCCAATAGGTATGAATTCTGTAGGTGGACGATTCGCTTTGTCGGTACAAAGGGCGACCAACACCCCCAACATCGCAAATTTACCTTGTAACCTCTCAATTCAAATACAAAACAGTGGACGTAGGCTTCAGAGTTTACCTCGCCGAACCACTTTAAAAACTCTCAGTGTCTTTTACTTTATTGCATCTTTATACCTTCATCGCTGAGTATCTTTAATCATGCCTACATCAATTCTGATCCAGTCAAATAAGTATCATACCTTGTTCAGGTACCATACCTTGTTCAGGACCTTCTGCGAGCAGCTCAGCATCAAGAAGAGTTTCGTCGCTGTTTATCAGCCTCAAGCCAACAGACAAGTGGAGGCTGTGAACAAGGTCATCAAGCATACTATTAAGAAAAAGCTTGACGCCCTGAAAGGGAGGTGGGCCGATGAACTGCCCACAGCTTTGTAGTCTTATAAGACAACCGCTAGGAGTTCAACAGGTGAAACCCGATTCTCTCTGTCATACGGGTGTAAAGCAATGGCCTCGATTAAAGTGGGGATCAACTCATTTCGAAGAGAAGTTTTCGACAAGGAAACAAACGAAGATCTTTTCCGCCCGAGGCTAGACCTAATCGAAGAACATCGGGCCAAGTCCCAGCTAAGGCTCGCCTCATGTCAACAGCGATCCAAACAATACTTCAATACCAAAATAAAAAATAGAGACTTTGAAGTGGACGTTCTGGTTCTCAGGAAGGTCATCTACGGTACCCACAACCTGAATTTGGGGGCACTTGGACCCAAATAGGAATGTCCTTTCAGGATCTCTGAGAAGCTCGCGCTAGGATCTTTCCACCTGGAACGCCTCAACGGCAAAGCAATAATGCGAGCTTGGAATGCCGAGCACTTGCGAAGGTATTCCCAATCAGTAGCTCGGGTTTCACTTATTTCTCTGGTCTTTATTCGTTGTAAGGTCACTCGCGGCTAAAGCGTTTGATCAATAAAAGATGTATTATTCATAATTTTCCTTGTTTGTAGTTAATGTCTTTAATCCACTAGCGCTTATTTGCCAACTTGTAAATCGCGACCTCAGCGATGATATTTCAAAAGAGAACTCAGAGTCAAGAGTCCAGGAAAGACAGCTTATCTCAGAAAAGCCACACCAAAATCCAACTCTTGAAGGATGAAATATCCTAAATCGGTAAAGTTAAACTTGGAAAAAATTCAAGGAAAAAACACGTCGAAGGAAATCAGCCCTAAGCCGGCGACCAAAACTCGGAAAGGACGATAAATTTGAAAATCGAAGTTACTCGTCGCATAAGATTTCCTCACATAAATCAGGATGGAAAATCCTAAATCGACGGCGTTAAACTTGAAAAAATTCAAGGAAAAAACACTTCGAAGGAAATCGGCCTCAAGCCAACAACCAGAAACTCGAAAAGAACAATAACTTCGAAATCAAAGTTAATCGGTGCATAAGATTTCCTCGCATTAATCTGAAAAAGCTTCTCAAGAAGCGAGTTACACATGACTTATCGCAAATTCAGATCTTATATTAAAAGTCCAACTAGGACAAATGAAATGGCTCCGCAAAAATATAATAGCCATTGCTCGAAAAGGAAATGATGAAAATTTTTCTTGTATTAATTGAGTTCAATTACATTGTTTTAACTAAAAAAAATAGGAGTAAACAATCTCTCAGGCTGTTAGAGGAGCAGGGGGGTCATCCTCGAGTAATCCAGGGGGGCTCGCCATCAAGAGGAAGAGACAGTTCCTCGACAGGAGGGATGGTAGCAGTGTCTCCAAGGTTAAGAGCTTCGCTCAGGGGAAGAGTGGTTAGGGGGAACCGGATCTTTAACTTTTAGCATGAGCCCAATCTTCTCTCCGCCTTCCTCGACCTCTTCTTAACCCTTGCCATCGTCCTCGGAGTTATCCGAATACACGTAGGCCATTCCTTAGGCTTCGACCTTCATCCTCTCAACTTCCTTTTGATAAGCTCGCGGAAGGAAAGAAAATTCGATCGAGGGGTGAGCCTCCCATAGCTTCTGCACAAGGAAGACCGACGTCTGCCAGGACCGAGTAGTGATGGCCTTGTTTAGCTCTTCAATTTGAAACCTGAGTTGTTCGGCCTCAGCTTTGGCCTCATGCCGACCAACCGCCTTTTGGGCAAGGTCGAGCGAGGACTACTTGAACTTGGCCTCCCAGCTCACGGAAACATTTTGAGCTAAGGAGAGCTCAAAATTTAGCTTGTTGTTGGCACTTCGCTACTGTGCCAAATTCTTCTCGGTTTCTACTCCTTAGCTTTAACCTTCACTCGAGCAGTCTCGCTTACGTTAAGCTTGTCAAGGAACTCCATTTCCTTGACCCCAAAGGCCGCTACTTCTTCCCTGAGCCGTTCAAGCTCAACCTACTTAGCCTTTTTCTCTTTCTCCACAACCTCGGCCCTGGCCAGAGCATCCTCCTTCACTGTCTTTGCCAGCATCCACCCCTTGTGAGTGCCCTCTAAAGTGGTGTTGCACTCCTCGTATAAAAGTATGCCCGCCATGGTAACCTAAAAATAGAAGATGAGAAGTCAACAAAAGGCGAGGATATCATGTAAATAAAATAGGGGCGAACTATCGGTACCTTCGCTGCATAGATGCATGTTAAAGCCAACATTTGGGTGGGAGGCGAGTCCCTGACGGCCACGAAGGTTCACGGGGTGACGCAATCCTTGGCTATTACGACCCCAACACCGATATGGTCGGGGAGTTGGTCGATCAATGCGTCAACCACAACTTGAGCCGCTTCACCTGCTTTCTTATTCTTCGACTGAGATGAGTCAGGTTTACTCCCCCCAGCAGCGCCTGCCTCGCCCGCAAGAGAGGATTTCTTCTTGGTCAAGTCTTTTGCCGCTGTTTTCTGAAGGCAACCAACTGCGTGGTGACCACTTTGCCCAAGCCATTTTGCTGCTTGGCCACCTTCTGTTTGCCTGAGGCCTAGTTGCTTTCTTCTTTCTCGAGCCATCGTGCTGTTCAGATGCTTTATGTTTCCTCGAGCTCCCAGTCATTTCGAGCGTTTTATTCATTGGAAACTTTTGGGGCTTAGGAACACTCTTCCCACCAACTTCCTTAGAGGCAATCGCAAGCCTCTTTGCGCTTAGGCCTTCCCTAAGCTCACCACCGGTGCGCTTCGTGCCGGCAGTGTCTGCGAGCATCTTCGTCACCAAAGCAGCCAGTGCCTTTTTGGTAGCCGTTGGGGCCGCCATTTTCTTCTTGAGGCCCTTGGGCTTCTCTGCCCACATCTCTGCAAGAAAAGAAACAAATGAACGAGCGACCTATTTGCGCTGGAAAGTAAAAGCGAGCAAGTGACAACTTAAACCTTTCTCCAAAATTGTAAGGAATCTAGCCTCGTCCCAACAAAAGCCATATGCTTTTAGGTAAGGAAGCGTGAGAAGCTCGTTGACGTTATGCTAATCGTCGAGAAGGTCGCTAAAACGTTGCAGCCTCTGCAAGCTCCCGGTTGGAAGATAGTTATGGTCGACGTTAACTACAAAACAAAACAAAACAACTCAATTAGCTCAGATACAATGCTCGAAAGCGACCCTTGTGCATGTGGGGAATCAATGTCTTACTCGCGTTCGAAGCAAAAGTGCTGGTCTTCCGGGTCTCGTAGAAGAAAAATTGAGAATCACAGTGCAGGACCTTTTTCAGGACATCA